GTGGCTTTTGTGTTTTGTGTACCTCACGACTGAGACTTCGACCCTGTGTGGCTTCCTGTTCTGGCTCTGGAGTATTTCTGGCTCTCCTCATCTCTAAACCATACTTTAAAGAGTCACCAATTTCATAACTCTAATTAAACATTACATGCCGAAAGCATACGTTTATGGAATTCTGACACAAACAACAGCATTCCTAAGCCAAGCCAGCTTTTCTAAAATTCCATTTTAGAGAATGTTTTGCTTTGTGAAAGACAAAAAAGGATACTTTATGTGAACGATTGATTTTGCTTTTAAATGTTCCTGCTGGGGAATTTAGTGTCTGAGTATGCCAAGTTAGTGGCTTTTTCCATCAGTGTCATTATGACTTTTTGTGTCTTAATTATAGGTTATTAATGATCCTCTCATAACCAAAGCAAGCTTTGAACCAGCTTCAACACAACCCATAAATATAGTTGACAGAAATGCACCGCTGCTTGATTTCTTTCCAGCCTTCGCCCACTCTCTGTTTCATGCAACTGGCCCATGCTAATCATTGAAGAAGTCCTCTGTTTATGTTTTGCATTTCTGCTGCGTTGGTCTCCAATTATTTCCAAGCCTGGCGACCTGAATGACTTGCCTGGAGTCTGAGAATCTGACCCCAGACGACTGCAGCCGGGACGGGTAGTTAGTGCAGGTGCTAATTGGCTTTGAGGGGTTATGAAGGTCCATTATCAGATGAAGTGCAATGCAGACCAAAGCCTGGTCCGAGGGTGCCGGCATGGGGGGTAAACAGGGCAATTGGGCTTTCGGTGGATAATTGAGCAAGCCCCCCACAAACTACTTAATCCTGATAGTAGTGACAAGTACATTTTAGGACAAGGTCATTCTGAGGCTTAAATGGACAGTTTTTACAGCAGTATAGCATGGACTACTCTTAATCAGTTTTAAAGACATTGCAAGGCTGAAAATGTAACAAATTATATCAAGAGTTTGTCACTTGTCATTTACATGATGCCTTTATTCTAAAACAGGATATTTTACTATATTGCCATCAACCAATCATTCAATTAATCCAGAGAACAGTACAAGATGTATAAGCTCCACATTTGTTTTTGTTTCTTTTATCTCAAACCATTTTAAAGACACTTACTATAATAACTATATTATATATATATTGTAAAAATAACTGTATTATTATTTTTAATAATAACTATTTACTCTTTAACTTTATTTAAATATTATTAAAAATATATATATATTTTTTCTTTTCTGCATTTCACTTAAAGCTGCAGTCCGTAACTTTTTGGGGTTAAAAATTATCCAAAATAATTTTTTGAGCAAGTACATAACCAGCCAGTGTTCAAAACTATCTGCTTGCCTAATAATGAAAACGGTAAGCTTGTAATAATGTTTTTAATTCCAGTGGTACTGGTGGATTTCCGCGGGAAATTTGAGCATGTCTTTGCGTCATTACGTCACATCTGTAAAGAAGGTGTCTCGGCTAGTAGGCTATATTGCGTGTGAGGATGTTGGAGGTGGAGATTTATAGCCTTTTCTCACAGCACTTGATATAATTAAACTTATCAATTTGATGGTGGATCCAGAAAGGTTCAAACGACAATCATCAGTGACAACTGGAGATTCACCCGTTGTAAAATGCAAAAGACTTTGGACTTCGGAGTGGCTACAGAAAAAAAGAGACTGCAACCGGACCCATGCGAAAACAAGGATAATATCTGAAGGGCATTAAATGTAGTCACGCAATGCTGATGTTGTTAACATTAACAATTTGAGAACAAAGTATAATTTGCACGGTTTGACGTGATATGATAAGTAGGGGTGTAACAATACACAAACCTGACGGCTTGGTCTGTCCCACGGTTTTGACTTTTCGGTTCGGTTCATTTTGGTGGGGTGGGGGTGGGGGGTGATGGGGTGGTTTTAGAAAGCTAAAATAGCTTTTTTTTAACTAAACAGTGCTTTAATGAACAAATTGTGTCCTTGTTTTTAAATTAATTCAATGACAAGTAAACGTTTCGCAAGGATAAAAAAAGTATCTGCTAATGCTGTGTAAACTATATAGGAGCCCTTACTTGCACATTACTATAATATTAAAGCTTAACAACAGAGCCTAGACTTTTAGCCTAAATTCAGTTGATATTTATTTTTAGATATAATAATAATAATCAACACTCAAATAACAAATTGTATGTAAACATGTAAACTGTACATAAGGCAGTTTTTGCATTAACATATGTTTTTACTCTAATTTGTTATTAAAATATAATAATTTACACAGTTGCTGTTATTTTCATGACAGAAAATAACAGCAACTGTGTAAATTATTATATTTTAATAACAAATTAGAGTAAAAACATATGTTAATGCAAAAACTGCCTTATGTACAGTTTACATGTTTTCATACAATTTGTTATTTGAGTGTTGATATTTATTTTTAGATATAATAATAATAATAATAATCAACACTCAAATAACAAATTGTATGAAAACATGTAAACTGTACATAAGGCAGTTTTTGCATTAACATATGTTTTTACTCTAATTTGTTATTAAAATATAATAATTTACAGTTGCTGTTATTTTCATGACAGATATTTTAAACATACATTAAATAATCAAGATATCATTAACAGGTTAAGTAAAATATAATATATAGGCTAATATAGTGCATTTATTTAGTGAAAGAGTTAGCGAACCAACAAGCTGTGGACACTGAATGACTTGCCTGAGGTAAATTATAAAGCTATGTGGAAAAACTAAGCGTTTTATTGACGTATTTCCGCTGTTGAAACACTGATTGAGTGATTACACGAGTTATGATGCCTTTCAGTAAGTATACTATATCTTTCAGCATACCTTCGGGTGCCCATTCATGTTTATTCTGTAACTGAGGAAGAGATGATCGCGTTTACTCACGCCCCGCGCTGCCACTTTAAATGAGGAGCCTAGTAGCCTACAGTGATCTGTCACGCCACATCTAAGAGCGCCAAAACAGCATTTATTGTTTGAATTTTGTGATAAAAAAAAATAGACATAATTTCAAAGACTACATCTTGCTTATTATCGAAAGTAACAAAACATGGAGCTTGCTATTATAGGGTGTTAATGGTGGTTAGGCTATTCGTTGTGTACACATAAGACATGAGGTCCATTGAGCCAGGGCTGGGCGGGGCAGCAGGGGGCGGGGCGTGTTCGGTACGCCGTGAGAGTATCGCGATACGTATCGTGGGTGGTGTAGTTCGGTTTGAATATCGTTACACCCCCAATGATAAGTGATCATTAGATTTCTAAATCACGCTGATTTAGACAATCAGCGAGATTTACTACAATGCTTTTTTTCCCTTAGTTGGTCAGAACAAAAATGGACGTTACTTACTTGTTCAGATGACATTTTCCGGTGAAAATTCTTTTGCTGGTCATACTTCCAAAAAGTAGAATCTGTGATTCCGAATGCCAGTATCCACACCGGCGCGGTGACTGACAGCTGCACATTCTCCTCAAAACACTGGATTCATCCGCGCTGTGCCGTGCCCAGGCACAACCCACGTAAAGTTGATAATTCCGCGAATAACTGCAATTGAAGATTTCGAACAGAGATAGCGACAAAGAGGAAAAACTACGGACTGCAGCTTTAAATTGACAAATTGCATGTGATGTTCCTCATTTGTAATGAATAGACTGTGGATATTAGACTGAATCAACTTACTCTTACAGCAGTGTATGAGTTCACATAAGTGTAGTGTACATATAGTGTGCGTGGTTAAAGACATATGGTCCTGTTAACAAGATCTCAGTGCTGACAACAGCCACTAAATGAGGAACATGAGGTCTGATGGATTCTTCTGATGGATTACACAGAAACTGAGGTTTTTTTTTACAGTAATTATTACTTTTATTCATCAAGGACATAATAAATTGATCTAAAAAATGACTTTATGACTTAAAGATTTCTATTTCAAATAAATTCTGTTCTTCTGAACTTCATCAAAGGGCTTGTTTACACCTGGTCACTTCATGCATTTTTGCAGATCTTATATCTATCCGATTTGTTAAAGGGGTCATGAATTGAGAAATATAATTTTCTTTTGAAATATAAAAGGTAGGGATGTTAAACTGACCCCAAACCTTTAAATGGTAGTGTGGTGTATATAATTCGGTAAACACAAGAACCATGTCTCAAGAGAGTATATTTACTTTTATTTACATATACTGTATCACATGCTGAAAGATGTTACATTACTGCCACCATCAGTCTAGGACAGTACATTCTCTTTGTTGTTCCTTCTGTTTGTTTGTGATTTATCTGTGCCGAAAAACTATTCAAGATTTATGACTATTTGCTCAGAGGATGAGAATGCATCAATCTCTGTCTATGAATATCTCATTCTTTTACTCCGCCTCATAGTGGGAAAGTTGAAGATAGGCTGAGAATTATAGCAGCTCTGTGTTGCTGGATGGGTTATTTATTTAGCAGACGGACACAGGCAGAGCACAACAGATTAAAGGGGCAGTGCACCTCAATGTGTAAATGAAAATACTCACCCTCATGTCAGTCCAAGCCTGAATGACTGTTTTTCTTGCATGCAGCACAGAATGAAATGTTTAGCTAAATATCTGAGCTGTTCTATTCAACACAATGAAAGTGAATGGGGACCAGCTCAAAAAAAAGAAAAAAAGAAAACCACCATAAAAGCATAATAACAGTGGTCCATTTGACTTATATGACTTTGAAGTCTTTGAAGGCCATAGTTTGTATGAGAAACAGACCGAAATGTAATTTATGATGTTGATTCAATGAAAATCTTGCTTGACAGCTGTGGTCACCATTCACTTTCATTGAAAAGAGCAGCTTGCACGTTCCACTATATGTTTAATTTTTGTTCCACAGAAGAAAGTAGGTTGTGCAGGTTTTAAAAGACATGAGGGTGAGTAAATGATGAATTATGTTTTGGATGAACGATCCCCCTTTAACAGGAAGAACATCACTGATTCCAGCAAGCATGCCATCTGGAGTGGAGGTTAAAGAGGAGAGTAGACCCTTGTTTGAGATGAAATAGTGTCTCCTTTTTAGCCACTACTGTACAACAGAAGGCGTTGTTTCTCTCTCAAACACCCACAGAAACGCACTTCCATTTCCACACAGTGGATTTCATCTGGCTCCCATGCGAATTTCATTGCAGATACATCTCAGATGCTGAGTCTGCTCTATTCCAAAATATAGTTTTTCACTGAATGCGCTAAAAAAGTTTATTTTTGTCTGCATTGTTCTCTAAGCTTATGATTTACTAAATAACAGATGTTTTATGTAAGCAGCTCACTCTGACATTATTTTCTTCACAGGAGAATCCACTTTTGTTGACGACCACGGGCCTCCCACACCAAGGGTAAGTTGTTTTTTTGCATTATCAAACTCTTTTTCTCTCTCGTTTCCTTCCAGTTCGAAATGTACTGTACAAAACATCCCTGTCTGCGTTTGTCCTGTTATTTTGGCCTTCCCACACTAGAGGAAAACATTTCAAGACTTGACAGTGACTGGAAGGTCACACACACACACACACAGCCACACACATTCACATTTAACAACCCCATGAAATGGTTTGACGAATGCATTTCTATTTCCTGTGTTGATGTATTTCCTAATGAAAGAGGAAGTTTGAGTGGTATATATTGAATGTTTTTCTATTAATAGCCAGTTGCTATCAGTTTAAATCACAGCCTGGCAAAACCATGCTATTTATGCTAGAAATGTCTATACGCACTTGGGTCTTGCAGTATCAGTATTGGTCAGTTTCTCTGAAAGAAAAATATTTATTATTTTGTGTGTATGTGTCGGGGCTCTCAGGGCTCTAGACTGCGACTAAATGTTTTCCTGTCGGTGCGACTGAATTTTGTGACGTTAGACCAAGTGAAACAGCGCTACGTTACCTCACAAGTTTAATTCGTCAAATAAACTGGCCTGTGTGAGTAGTAATTCAGCACTTGCGGGTAAGTTAGTTCGGTAGAATGAAATGTCTTCATTGCTTTATATCCGTGGGACTCGCGTGTGGCGCTGATATCTGTCTCTCATTAGCAATCTCGCTCTGCTTCATATCACAGTCATGTTAAAGAACATGAAATGTTTTCACTCATCCATAAACATTATTAGATCCATCAGCATGACAGCAAGTTCCATGATTCAGCTTTTTCACTGCGTCATAAACCTACGCCTTTGTTATTGTAAGAGGTTAGCGACCCCTAGCGGCGAAAAAAATTACACATTAAAGAAGATATTGAATATAATTACAGTATTTTTTAGATATGTCCTTTTTTGCATTTTTATTTATACTAAATGTGTTCAGGCTAGGCATAGAAACCATATAGTTACTTTTTGCATGACCGAGGTGCTATGCATGGTACTATGAATGGAAGACCAATTTTAATAAGAGTAAAGTTCTAACTCAATCAGAATATTTAGATTTTACCCTGTAAAATGAGTTTGTTGCATTATTATTATTATTATTATTATTTTACAAATGTAAATTTATTTTCATTAACAAAAACAGCTCAAGCTACTTTTGCTGTCAACTCTAATTACTGTCAAATGTGCATTTCCAAGAAACAAAATAAGTAATACTAAATATTATTATTATTATAATAAGTGTAATATTATTACACTAATTATTTTTAGTGCTACCAAATCAGGTGCTGGTGCCACCATCTGTAGAACTATAGAACGCCGAGCTACTGCTCCCAAATGTTAGTCTAGAGCAGGGGTCGGGAACATTTTGAGCTCAACAAAGAGCCTTTTTTATTTTTACTTTTGTACTTTTTGAAAGGGCCTACAATTTACTATTATTATTTTATTAAAAACGTATTTTTTTTTCAATAACATTTTGATAACAACTTTATATACATAACTCAAAAATAGAAAAAAATCAACAAACAATAGGTAACATGTTTCATTATGGGATTAATTGTGCATGACTTTCACTATGAGGTTCCACCTGAGCAGCAAAAAACCTCTTCGGAGTTCTGTTTGTTTGTGTTAGTCCAGTCGCTTTGAATTTTTCGATGTTCCTATGAATTCTTTCTTTTTGCCATCTCCACAAACTAGCTAGGCAGCTGCTTGTATCTGAGCACCAGAAGTTACTATGTTAACTTCTGTTCACACAGCAGTAAAATATGGTTCTGTATTTGATGACGACTCCTAAATATGGTTGTATTCACAGTTTTGTTATTTTTACGGGGTGACAACCACATTCTATCTCCTGTAGGTTTTGGAGACTCACAACCGCATTCTCTGCAAATCCCCACTGTGTGAACCGGACTGGACAACTAGTTGTCCGTCATGTCATACAGTGCAAAAGAACTGAGCTGAACTGCGCTATCACGCATCTTCTGAAAGAGTCTCCTGATCAAAACACATGTGAAGAAGATGCAGAAACCAGCGATCTCATATGAAATCATGTGCATATGTAAAATAACGCGATCACCAACATTAAACAGCATATGAATCAAAACTGTCTAATGTTACTGAATAGGGCTGGGCGATATGGCTGAAAACTGTATCACGATATCAGTGTTTCATATCGGTCGATATCGATAATTATTGATTTTTTTATGACCCATTTAAAATAAGGACCAGGAGAAAAGATATATTACATTTAAACATTTTTATTTTAAACTTAACCTTCCTCTGATTACAATCCCAAGACAGAAATGTCAACACAACCATGGAAAACTCAAATAATTAAAATGTAAACATAAGTCTAAATTCACAATCAGACCTGCAAACTCCTCAGAGTAAAAAAGGTGACAGTGGCGCGGCGGGACGTGGGTGGTGGGGGTTTGTGATCGTATGTGCCCCCTGCTTGATTTTTTTTTTTGGAGACATCACGGTTCGGTACGATTTCGGTACAATGGAGTGAAAAGCAAAACAGAAATATAGAAGGCATTTTTATAAATGTCTTAAGCCTTGTATTTTTTAAATAAGTTTTATTAATAAAGGCATAGAACCAGTTTATTTATAGTGCACTGATAATAGTTTTATATAATTGGTTTATTAATTAAACTAATAAAAAGATAGATATGAGATATGTTTGGTAATTGTACCTGAATGAATTTAAAATTAATTTGCTATATTTCAGATCAATATATTTGTTTTCCTTAATTTTAATTAACCCTAACTTTATTCTCATCAGAATTATAAATAATTGATTTCCGTATAAAATAATCTACCAACACATTTCACTTTCTTTTTTAATCAATGTGTAACTTAAAAATAAACATAGTGCTCTGTTTTGAGGACAAGAAATGAAAACCAATGCGATATGATGAATGTCCAAAAGATGGAACACACAGACTGTTTTAAAAAGGGTTGGATAAATATGTTTTGCTTTTAAAACGGTGTGTGACAGTTGTAGGTTACAGTTTGACAAGAAATACAGTGTGACAAAAGCACAATGTTGTGTTTTATTGCGAGTATAGGCCTACACAAATATAAGTAAACACTTTGCAGACTGAATGATGTCCTGTATTAACAAAATGACGGAGTATGTTTTTATGTCTCCACTGTTCGATCGCGCCCGCGTGTCTCTCTCTCTCGCGCCCGTGCCTACTCTCTCTCTCTCTCTCGCGCGCGCGCCGCACACACACACACACACACACACACACACTCCAGCATTGCAATCTTGACATCGCAGCCTGTTCATTATGCTGTGTTCACATCAAACGCGAATAGAGCGAATTATCCAATAATGTTTCGCAATTCTAGCCTGCATGGCATGCAGATGAAGGGCACTCATTTTCTGCTTATCAATCGCCGGTTACTGATGAGGAACCCAGCAGCACGAGACAACGATGGCGCAACCAAACTGACACGTTACATGATTGCCTGAGCGTGTCACTCCCTACGTTGCTAGGTTACCAGAGAGCGAGTGCCTTGATAATGCAACCAAACTTGCTTCGCAACCTGTGGTTTCTTCCGACGAAGAAAAAAAATATCGAACGTTTTATCGAACACATTTTTTATTGATATCGATCACGTGTCTATCGCGATACATATCGTTATCGTTTTATCGCCCAGCCCTATTACTGAATGAAATGTCGACCCAGAAAAAGCTATAGGTCTGTGCAAGCATTAAGGATGTTTATGGACTCGATTTACTCCATCTATGTTTTGATCGTCATTCTGAATCCAATCCAGGTGTAGTCTTTGACAAAAACGCTATTTTCTCAGCTTTTTGCTCAAAATGTTGCTTTTTTATAAAACTTACCCACATTCAAGTGTTGATAAGAAAGAATGCTTGAAGCTAGAATCAAACTTTTTTTTTTTAAAGCAGAGTTTTAAAAAAATATATATTGCATGTTCAGATATTATTCATACAACAAAATATTCTGGGGCCATGAATTTTTGTGAAAATGATCAAAAAACGCTGGCGGGGAAAGAGTTAAGGAAGTACAATTTTCTGAGTCAACAAAAGGGCAAAACAAGCAGTTGTGAAAGTAAACTTAAGTTAACACACACACTCAGGCCAGCTGACATCTTGCCTGGGCCCGGGACAAGATAATCTTAGATGGGGCCCCCCCACGATTTTTTTTATTTTTATAAAACACCATATACTTTTACCCAAAAATGAATAATAAAAACACGTTTAAATGGGTAAATTTTCTATAAATGTCTTCATTTTCTTTTCTGACATAGCCTACTGCAGTTCTTGTTAAAACACACTAGACATGCATAATCTGTGCATTTTGGGCACTTTTTGTGTGAAATCATACTTATTTTTTGTCCATCAAAAGTGTGCTTTCACTTTTAAGCATGAGCAGCGCAGCAAAAATAGACTCGGATCTGACCCATTATCTGTTCACCGATGATGACAGTGATGCATTTCAGCCGGCTTTTTATTTCTCATCTCCATAAATAGTAGTAAAGCTAATCCAAGGGCTAGAAATCAATGAATTCTTTGCTAATACTTCCTCGTCATCATGGAGAGCGCAGTTCGCACCGCTTTCTCCTTTCCACAAGCGTTTGCTCTCCCGTGGCGTCTGTCGTTGCTATGCAACAATGAACTTAGGCGCGCCTGTAAAAACGAGCGCGCCGCGTCGCTATTATGAGCTAATATCCAAAATATTTCCATATGTGGCTCTTTCCTCCTTTCTTATCAACAAGTTGATTTACAGCCACCACAGCAGCAGCACCGCCGGTCGCCATGTCTCAGCGCTTTTATGAAGAGGACGCAACTAAACGCGCTTTGGGCATGCACGCGCATCCCGGGTTTAAGAAAACCTGGTACCGTGGCGTGACGTTTAAAAAGAAATTTGTACCGACTTGGTACCGAAGTGCCGGGTCTTTGACAACACTCATAAACGTTGGCTGCGCTGTTTCTTACCTTGCTCTACGTTG